GGTGGGGAGGGGCGGGGCCTGATGAGGGCGGGCGGACCGGAAGGGTCAGCTAGAGGGCTGGAGTCTACTGGAGGAAGCGGAGGCCTGATGGAGGAGAGGAGCGGGGTCTGATGGGGTGGAGCAGACCCGGAAGGGTGGGTGGGAAGGCTGGGAATGAAGGAGGGGCCAGCTGGGGAACTCCCGGGACAGACGCAGACGTGAGGGAAAGGATGGGCAGATATTTGGGGACCAGATTCTGACAGCTTAAAAGATGACGGTCCTCAAGGAGTGGGATTGACACAGTGGCTGCAACAATGGGCTCAGGCATGGGAACAATTGTGAAGATGGCGCAGGACCGGGCAGTGTTTCGCTCTGTTGTGCATAGGATCGCTCGATGGCCCGACTTCATAACAGCTTCATAACATGGGACTGACTCGATGGCCCACTTCATAACAGTTCTAGGCAGCAGAACAAAGCCTGGGGGCAGGATCCGCCACACAAGGCGGGGTGTGCTCTCATAGCCGGATGTAAGAGATGGGATCCATAAGACTGGACTTCAGACTGGGAATAGGGTCCTTCCAAGAGACGGTCTGACCGGATTGAGGGCATGAATTAGAGTCTAGAAGGCTAATGGAGTGGGGCTTGTTGGTGGAGTGGGATTTACAACCTGATGGGCTGCCCTTTGGGGGTTTTCTTTACTGGAGTAGACAGCCTCATCTTTCACCCTGGGAGAGCCTAGTAGGTTCAAACTGCTGACCTTGCGGTTAGCAGTCCAGAGCTTCCCCGTCGGGGCCAGCCAGCCAGCCACCTTCATTACAGGGCTTTAGGTATCTTGCAAACCACGATCTGGTTGGTGGGGTGTTGAGAGGCCCAGCACAACTTCTAAACAGGGCAGGGATTGAGTTGGTATTTCAGACAGAATAGAAGTAGACTTAAGCAGTAGAGCAAGGAGCCCTGGTGGCATCGTGGGTTACACACTGGTCTATTAACCAGAAGGTTGGCAGTTCAAACTCACCAACTATAAGACAAGGCTGTCTGCTATAGGGGGAGTTGTACCTTGCTCCCTAAGACTGCTATGAGTTAGAATCCATTCGATGGCTGTGGGGGTTTTCTTAGGAGCGGGGCAAGGCCTGTGAGCTGGGAAAAACCCGTAGGCAGCAGCAGGGTTCTGTGCTGTGTGCAGACAGGTATTATAGACTGGAGGAGCCATCCGTGAGATGCCTTTTGGGGTGTGTGCTAAGCCAATGGGCCGGGCCTGTGATGCTGGAGTGGGGCCCACGGAACGGAATATCAAAGACGGAGATATTGGACCCAGCAGACACGGGGGAGCTCAGAGCTCGGGGCTTTGGGTCCCTGTAGCAGGTGGAGGTGATTCAGGATGGGTAGGGTCCAGTGAATTTCGCCTGAAGGAGGGGCTCCTGACGTGTTTGAGTGGGTGGAGCCTCAAAGGGGGCGGATCTTTCAGCAGATGCAGAACCTGGTCTGCCTGCCACTCGAGTGTTGGGGGGTCTTGAAAGCAGCCCATGGGCAGGAAAGGGGCCAGAGGAGTGGTATTTACGAACTTGGAACAGGGGGTGGTACCAATGTTTCCCATGGACTGGAAGTTCTAGGTGGCCCAATTGTGCTGTTTCAGTGGTTCGAACCCAACTGCACCACAGAAGAAAGACGTGGTGGCTGGAGTTCATAACGATTGTTGCGCTTGCTGTGTGGTGCTATCTAGTGGGTTCTGACTCACAGCGATCCCCGTGTACAACAGAAGGAAATGCTGCCGGCTCCGAGGCCATTCTCACAATCGGTGTGAAGACACAATTGTCTCACAATCAGACAGTCTCACAATGTCTGATCTTAAAGATGAGCAACTCCAAACCTCTACGCCGGCAGTTCTGCCCTGTAACACCGGGGCCCATCACGAGTCAAAATCCACTCAATGGCGGGAATGAGGCTTGGAGCACTTTAATGGCTCAACGGATTGGCATGGAACTCGAGCTTGAATTCCAATCATTCCCTTGCCAGTTCATCTCAGCGGAATCACAGAGAGAAGAGTCCAGGAGACCACGAGCCCTTTGCACAGGACATGACAGACCCAACACCACCAAAGTCATTGCCAAGGAATCGATTGCAACATCATGACCCCATAGGGCAGAGAACTGTCCTAGTATAACTTCCGAGGCTAAAAATCTTTACAGCGTCACACCACCACATCTTTGTTCCCTCCACCCCCCGGTGGAGGCCAAACTTTGAGCCTAGAACAGTGTCTGGTATATAGCGGATGCTCAATACACAGTTGTCGAAAAAAAATGAGTGCATTTCTGAGCTAGAAGGGGAGGTGTCAAGTACGCAGTGTGCTCCGGGTACAGGGAACAGCATATGCACAAAGCCTAACTGGGAAGCCGCCTCACCTCTCTGTGGTTAAATCCTTATCTCTGGTTAGAGGCCTCTCCCTCTTTCCAGCCTCCACCCAAACGAGTCTCCATCTGTCTCCCCAGGCACGGGCGCCCCTTCGTGGCGACCTCAGAAGAACCGTTCGCGGGCCGCGTCAGGCGGGGCGGCGCTGGCCAGTCCGGGCCCAAGTTCAGGATCAGGCACCCCGGCTGGGCCCGGGGGCAAGGAGCGCTCGGAAAACTTGTCCCTGCGGCGCAGCGTGTCCGAGCTCAGTCTGCAAGGTCGCCGGCGGCGGCAGCAGGAGCGCAGGCAGCAGGCGCTTAGCATGGCGCCAGGGGCAGCCGAAGCCCAAATCGGACCCACGGACCCCGGCGACTTTGACCAGTTGACCCAGTGCCTCATTCAGGCCCCCAGCAACCGCCCCTACTTCCTGCTGCTCCAGGGTTACCAGGACGCCCAGGCAAGCACGGACTCCCCTACTTGCCCATCCAATCCGGAGATCCCTCGGCACCTCCTGTCTATGAAGGGCAACAAAATTACACATTCTAGAATTCCTTAGGTCGTGGAAGCCTCCAGGACGCTGGGAGGCGTGGTCCCAGCAAGGTCCAGGGTGGGAGATACCACTGTTAGGACACAAGGGGTGGAAGGTAGAGAGGTGGTTCATTTCATTCAAAGTCTGGGGGAAGTTCTCTCAAGGCAGCAGGAGAGATCCTTGGAAATCCCCACTTCTTAAGGGAGAAATAAGGGGAGACTACTGCTAGGTCTTGGCAGATGCGGGAGAAGGAATGAGACATTACGAATCGAACAGTAATGTATCAGGGGAATTACTTATTGATTTTTGATGATCAGAGGGATCATCCAATGCCATCCATCTTGGGGTAGCAATGCCACCGCCAAGCTCCCAGATAGAGCGGAGACCAATGGGGAATGTCCATTTTAGAAGGTGGCACAGCTTATTGGACAGTTCTTTTTCGTCTCAGAGAGGGATCCAATCAGTTTAGGCAGCTTGGTTCTGTAGCTGGCTCAGATTACACTACGGGGAGGAGTTGGCACCGAACAGATCTTTCCTTCTTGCTGGGACAAAGGCATAGGGAGATCTCATTCTAGAAAGGAGTTGGCACACATTGTGGCAGCACACAAGGTTGCAGAAGCTGAACAAACCGGAAGGCGGGAAAGCCTTGGAAACACCCGTTCCCTGTTGTAGGGTTTCATGAGAAATTCCTTTGTAAGATGGCTCCCTTGGTAATGTCCGTTCCTCGTGGGAAGGATAGCATAGAGCAGGGGTTCTCGACCTGTGGTCGCAACCCCTTTGGGTCATAGGATAGCTATAATGTGAGAGTTCTCTGCAGGTGCCCCGGAAGTATCTTTTCTTGGGCTAAGAAACAAGAGAAGGGGCTTGTGTGTTTTGGCTAATGTCCTTCCTGGCGGCAGAGATGAAGAACAGGATCTTCTTTAAGAAGGCGGTCAGATTGGAAGCATGTTTTTCTAGAGGGTGATTGAATCCATTCCTTGTAGAAAGGGAGCTTTTTTTGAAGTGTCCGTTCCTGGAGTGGGGGTAATGGAGAGAAGTCCGTGGAGAATGGGGATTGTGGGAACCAGGTTGCCTATTCTCTCAGCTGTGGGTGGAGAACAGGTCCATGTAGGTCCAGCAGTAAGGAGTACTGAGGTGGAAGGTAAGAGTAACATGACAGTTCTGGTCACGTGTCAACTTGGCTAGGCCCTGTCTCTTAGTGTTTGGCAGTTATGTCATGGTGTGATTTGGCAGCTATGCAATGATATTATCATCTTCCGTTTTGTAATCTGATGTGTCCATCCATTTTCGTATAATGCTGATTTTCACAGAACAACTTGGTCTTTGGAACCAACCCATATGGATAAGGGCGCAGTGGTCATATAGTGTGGATGAGAAAATCCATTGTAAAGATACGGTTTTCTGGAATGTCTCTTCCCTTGCTGGCTGTAATGGGACACCGCACTATAGGGGGGGAAAGTCTCTAAGATGGGGTTCCTAGGAGATCCCACTGAAGATCCTGTTTCTTGGAGATGTTCTTTCTTGAGATGGGAATCTTCATAGATGAAAGTGGGGCGTATCTTCGGAAGCCTGTCTCTTAGGAATGGGGACCAGGCAGTGGTTAGAGTCCTTTGAATATGAGTTCATCAAGGTGATGGGAACACAGAGAGTCTGTTGTAGAAAAGTGATCCCCGTGAATAGGATGGAGATCACGGAGGAAACCCTTGTTGGGGGTTGGGAGCGATCTTTTTAAAGGTATCCATTCCTTGCAAAAGAAATATTGACCCTGATTGGAAGGGGGAATGACCTTGGAAGGCTTCATCACTGGAGTTGGATAATGGGGAAATCCATTCTAGGAAAAGCGTCTTCCTAGAAGCCCATGATAGCGTAGAGCAGTGGTTCTCAACCTGTGGGTCTCAACTCCTTTGGGGGCCGAACGACCGCTTCACAGGAGTCACCGGATTCTTAACAGTAGCAAAATGACAGTGATGAAGTAGCAACGAAAACCATTTTATGGTTGGGGGATCACCACAACGTGAGGAACTGGATTAAAGGGACACGGCATTAGGAAGGTTGAGAACCACTAGTGTAGAGTAATGGGGAAGTCCATTGGAGCAGGGTCATTTGGGAAAGGTCAATTCTTTGAGGGGGAGGAGTGATGAGGGAGCCCATTCTTGAAACGAGATGGCACTGGAAGCACCGGTTTCTTGGGTGGAGGTTATAGGGATGCTTTGAAGGAGGGACTGGTGGGATGGCAGCAAAGAAGTTTCCAGTATCTCATCTTTAGGATGAATGCTATCACAGTCCAGCATGGAAAATGGGTGGCTTCAAAAAGTCCCCTCACAGAAGGTGAGCGTCAGTAGAGTCCATTAGGGTCCAAGAAGATCCCCTCGGCAGTGTTCAATCATAGGGTTGGGGGGTGGGGTGGGGCAGGGAGTCCCTGTGGGAACGGGATCCTTCGGAAGCAAACGGGTCCCCATAAAGGTCACGTGAGTTCACCGTCCCCCTCTTCTTGCAGGACTTCGTGGTATAC